ATAGAACAGACATTTTTGACTCAGGAGGATGGACAGCAAGTTCATTTACCTATTTAATGTTCTGGTCAGCAAGCGTTTTGGAGAAAAATGAAACAGAAGAGAAACACGGGTCTCTAGAACATGGTGGCTGTCTCTCTATAGATGGTGAAGGAAGAACTTGCCACTTTCTCAATCTGTAGAATTCATAAATGAAGGAGAGCAATGAACTACACAGACCTGGGACAAGCTAGGAGATAGAGGCTCTAGCCAGAGACAGCAGGAATCAGAAGCAGTGGGGGATTAGAGAGTTTGGGTATCTTCCAGGAAGAGTTTGGATGCCAGTGAGCTTGGAGCAAGCTGGACCAGAAGAGAGGAATAGTGGACAGGAGCCATAGTGAACCAATCATGGATTCTGTACCAACCTAAGGAGTTTGGATTTTATTCGGAGTGACATCCAAAGCCACTGGAGACAAAGTACATGACTGGATTTGTTATTTTAAGGGCTCATTCTGGCTTCTGAAAAGGCCTCATGGAAGCATGGAGACCAGTTAGCAGGCTGACACAATAGTCTAGGCAAGAGGCTCAGTTTAGGTGTGCTCAGTAGTGGTGGGGTATAGTGGGAAATTACCAATACGGAGTCAGGTAGAAATATAAGGGTATTTAATAGGGAAAAGCCTTACTTACAGAGCGACCTAGCCAGCCGGCACAGTAGCAGTCTGTACAGCAAGAAGCAAAGAGAAACCGAAACCGCAAACGCAGTCACACTACGCCACTCTGACCACTCCCTCACCAGCCTGGTCAGGCACACCTGTAGCCAGCCCCTAAGAAGGCGTGACTACAGCTTCCCCTACAGTGGGGCTCATCAGAAGAGGTTTTATTTGACATATAACCTACAGCACTTGCTGACAGATGGGCTGTTGTTTGTGTCAGTGGCTTTCTCTTGAGCCAGTGGAACAGAATCACCGTTCACCAAGATAGAGATGGCAAGAAGGGTAGGCTTGGGAAAGAACATCGGGAGTCGATGTTTTGGATGAAGTGAGTTGGTATGAAAAGAGATGCTAGATGGACAGACAGATATGTGAGCGGCAGTTCAGAGATGAGCGGAGGTAAAAGCAGAGTGAAAGGAGCATGCTTCAAGGAGCAGAGGTGTAGGGAGAGAAGGAAGAGCAATGAGACCTCCCCAGCTGATGTAACGTGGCTTAAAGTGCAAACTAGTGTTGATGACTGGAAGATTGTTGGAAGCCTTTATTCTGTTCTTACTGTTGAACAGTAAGAACATGCCCTTTCTAGCCTGCTCTTCACATACACATGTCTTGCTAAGGAATTTCTTCATTGTGTCTCTAGGATGCAAACCAGAACTGCACACCACTTGCTCTGGAGTCCTCATAGATTAACAGGCACTGAAGCTACAAACTGGTTTCTAGTCCTTTCAATTCTTTAGAAGTTAAGAGGAAGGCATGGAGGGTGGCATAAGAACAAAGACATCATTCGTGGTCTCTTGGATCTCATCATTGTGAGGAACCATTTTAAAAAGTCCTGTCCTCCTATGGGAAGAAAAGATAAGAAGCATGCCAACTGCTTTGCTTTAATCCATGACCTTGGGAACCACCTTCATCTTCCAGCCAGAGAAATAAAACTTGACATTGTTGAATTGTGTGTAGACAGAAATCATTCCCCCACTGATCTAGCTCTGATCATATGATCTCCAGGTTGTTTGAAAAAGTCAGTCTGTGAATAACAGAAAGATGAAGCCAAAGATATTGTACCTGCAAATGTTTATTTTTTTCCTAGTCATTACGGGTATATAAACAGCTCTAAACTTCAGTGAAATAAAACAGACAAATCCTGTTGATAATGAATTTGGATTAGACACAGCAGGGGTGACTTATCTCACTCCATAATGTCACGGGCATCAGGATAGGAGACAGGAAATTTGACAGCTGGAAACTTCTGGAGGCTCACTTGCTAGCTAGCTCACCTACCTCACCCAGCAGACAGTAGTTTAGTTTCACTCCATAGGGCTTTTGCACATATCTGTATTGTTGGCTTTGCCTATGTACTCTCCCATCAGAGAAAGTACTAGGCTCCCCATTAGACCTCCCAAGTAAGATGACACAAAATAAAAAGAAGGATTCTTCTTTTTTTCCCCAAAAGTTCCTAGCTCATAAAGTATTAATATTGATCCCAAAACTTAATGGGGTTTTCATAGACCAGAGCTTTGCAGTTTTAAAAGTATCATGCTGAGGCTGAATTTCATTGATTGACTTTGCTTTAATCAGCCTTGGAATATTGGAACTGTAGACTATTAGACAACTGAGTTTCTATGTGTCAAATAACCTCCTGTGCTGGATGTTATGTGTTATGTCAACTTGACACAGGCTAGGTACTTCTGGGAAAAGGGAACTTCAGTTGAGAAAATGGCTACATCAGATTGGCTGTAGGCAAGTGTTTAGGGTGATTTATTGATTAATAATTGAGGTGGTAGTGCCTAGCCCACTGTGGGAGATGCCACCCTGGGTAGGTGGTCCTGGATTGTATAAGAAAGCAAGTCCTGGGCAATAACCAAGTAAACAGCACTCTTCTCCATGACTTCTGCTTCAGTTCCTATATCTAATTTCCTCTTTTTATTTCCCTCAGTGATGAATGTGACTTGAGAGCTGTAAGATAAAATAAACCAACCCTTCCTTCCCCATATTGCTTTTGGTCATGGTGTTTTATCACAGTAATATAAATATTAACTAATACCAAAATTGGTACCAGGAGTGGGGTCTGACTTATAATAGAACAGTTGGTGTTCAAGAGTGACTATATTTAAA